TTTGTCTACAAGAGGAAATACATGATTGACTTCAGATGGTCATAGGTTTCACCTATTATGTAGACTGCTACCCTTCAAAAGATTTTCACAGAATCATGTAAAAGCATGGCTTGTGCTTGTATCAGATTTGACTTCTTTAATTGTTTGTTGCCTTAGTTTCTGCCCCAATACTGTAAATAAAAGTTTGCAGATGTATCTCAAGTTGCAGCAGCAGAGAAAACTTTTGACTCCAGCTACTGAAGATGTAAAGAGAATATATTCTTTTTTTTCTAAGTTTTACCATTAATTAATTGGGCATGCAATTGTATGGATTGTGTATTACTGCAGGTTACTGTTTTAGCTTATAACATAAGGATGAGAGATGTTCTTTGTTGCCTTCTGAGCACAATATAAATGAAATTTCTAAAGTAAAGAAATAGTTTTCCCTTAGCTGAAACTACAGTGTTGCCCAGTACCTCCGAAACATCCATGAAAGCTCAGAGGTGTCTGCATGTGCCTGGAAGCAGATGCATGACTAATGTTTCTTGGTTGTTAGAAAGTCTGTATGCTACTTAACATCTTGAGTTTTTATCTAAAACTAAAATATACAAATCTTACTAGCACTTCTGAAGATTTTTTTAAAAAAGCATTCATATAAATGCAGACTCTGTCCACTTACTGCAGCTGTAAGTTTTAGAGCAGCATCAGTGCCCATAAAAATGAAATGGTTTCAGTGCAGTGATTAGTTTTGGAGCACTTTTGTAGTGCCTGAGCACTCTAGAGAAACAGGTTGGGAAGAGAATTGGGCCCTTCATCTTTCCATTAGGTGTGAAGATGGCTATTGCAGCTCTCTGCATAAGCAGGAGTAACAGTGAGAGTCCACACAGGTCCTGTGATGAGGACTGCGGGCTCTTGTAGCAATGTAAGGACTCAGGTCCCAAGGTGACTTACAAATAGCCCAGGGTAAAACTTTTCTTTCCGATACAGCGTATTGCAAAACTTTGACATGGCAAGTGAAAAGATGTGGGAGCGGGATGTGGGAGCGGGATGTGTGTCAGGTCAGTACTGCCTCTGGAAGAACCTGTTACTGAACTAGAGCCCGAAACACAAAGGGAGTGAGAAACATTCAAGTAGTAAATATGAAATAAATTCCTCGGTTTTATTTCCCATGATCTATGGTATCATTCAGACTGAACCTCCGTGAGCCCACCTCATGCTTTACTTGACACGGGGCACAGTAGGGATGTGGGGTGTAAAACGGGGATGACTGACTGTAATGTTATCCAGATGCTGAAGTCGTATCACACTGCAGCTCTCATCTGCTAAAACCTCACCTAGATCTTGACGAGGTGGCTTGAGCCCATGTGGTAGTGGTAGTAGAAGCAGATAAAGGAAGGGAATTCATGTCTTCAAATGATCTGATAGCTTTAATTTTGGGGAAGAAAGCGTGGAACTTCATCTGTATGAAAGTGCACCTGACTGGATGTGTACTCAGTGTAGCTGCTCTTCCTGTGGCTTATGAGATGCGTACCATCCTCTTGTTTCATAGCCCTAGAAAATAAAGCATTGCTTTATAACAAGCACCAAAGTGGAGGAGCTTGTGCCTTGATGATGGTTTTGATGGGTCTGCTGCCTTTTCTGCTGTGACCTGACAGAGTTGTTAGAACAGTCTATTGTTTTAAATATAGATTCGTGTGCCCTTACAGGATACAGGATGGATGGAGATAGTGGAGATGGCTTTAAAGGATGGTACACAGGGGCTAAGAGATCAAAATTTGCACTGTGGCTGTGGCTGGCCAGGTGCTTAGGCAGGTATACCTCACGTATGCTGGAAGGTAGCAAGGGCTATGACAGCCTAAGGAGGCCATTCTAAAAGCAGATAATCATCTCATGATATGCAAAAGATTGTGTTACTCGTAGGTACAAATGTGCAACTGTATGTCATGTTCATTTAGCATTGAGCTGAAGCTTTTGTCTTTCATGACCTTTGTTCAGTGTTACAAAAACAAGTCCCTCAAATCCAAGAATTGTTTGAAAAAGGCTGTAATGCCAGGGTAGTGTGTTTAGATTTGTTCTTGTGCCCACTCTAGCTGTATGGATTTGATTACAGAAGTTGCTAAAATTCCATTGATTTCTCAATCTGCAAACCTTTAGATTTCTTAAAACCATGGAAGAATAGAAACCACAGAGTACTTTAAATGCGCACAATTATTTTTTTTTCTGTGAATGCGTAATGCACAGTTTTATTCCATTTATATTAAAATAAATGGAGCTGCTTTTTTCTTCCTTGACGCTGTTTTCAGGCTGCTTTCCTTTTCGTAAGCAAAACCCTTCTGATGCTCTTGCTCGTCTGGCTGGCTGTAAACCAGGTATTTAAATAAAAATAAAGAGTTGCCAGTTTTGCCAGCTGGGGATGAGAACCCGGCTGGTGATATGCGGGTTCAGGAGGCAGTTAATCCAGCTTTTATGCTTTTTTATGATTTTATGTAAAAAGAGGTTAAAAATCACATTTGGCTCTTCCTTTATACCACTGTTTTGTTGCTGTTGTGGGAATGCAGCAAAAGGTTGCTCGTACTTTTTATTATTATTAGGTAAAGCCCAGCATAAATTAGGTAAAACCCCAGATCTGGTTTGCTTTAGCTGTTGGGCATGTGATTTGCCTCACTCGGAGAATGAAATGCTTTGTATTCCCATTGCGTGCTTTTGTAAGTCACACGTGCAAACCACACCTCGGCTCACTTGTAAAAAGCTCCACCACTGCCTCACGATTTTTTGTATTTTACCAGCTTCTAAGGAGAAGAATAACTAATGGTACAAATAGGAGAAATGGTAACGGTGCTAAAACGTGTATTAGAAAAACACATAATGCTTTTATATGTGGCAGAAGAAGTGGTGATTTAAAGACAAGTGCCACAGATTTCATATACGGTTTTTCAGCAAATAGCTTACAGTGTGCTGGAACTCATAAAATGTTTAATTAATTTTAAAATGCTGGAATTATTTTAGTTCCTTTCGTCACATGTACTCACTCAGATAATTTGTTGTGTTTTACACTTTCCAAAATTTCACCCTCTATTTGGAAATATCAATGATGTAACGAATCTGTGTGTTTTGGCATGGTTGTAAATGTATGTGTTAATGTGTTAATATTTATGATTTTTTAATCTTATATACACAAGAGGGATTTGTAATACATTTCTTTCCATCACATTCCTGTTACTAATCCTTAAAGATAGTGAAAATTAGGAATATGAATGCATTAATTACTGTGGGGTCATCAAAATTGCCATACTGCATTTTACTTCTGCTACTAACATGTACCAGGCACTTAGAAGCAGGATTGGGTTTACTGGAGGAGAAAAGGAGATGGCAGATAAACAAGCTCTACACTCTTACTGGGACTGCCCCTTGTCAGGCACGTGTCCTTGGAGGACATGGTGTGGCCATGGCCGCTCAGTGTCCCCAGATGGGTGCAGGCTGTGCCTGCCGTTGCTTTAGAGGAAATTGCTGGAAGTCTTCTTATGCTTTTTTGGCAGTCACAAGATAATCTGCTCACGGATAAAGTTTATACCTTACCTGCTAGAGGTTGCCTTATTCCTTAAAGCCTGAAAGCATTACTAGATGTCACCAGGCTTTCCCTGGCGTGTGTCTAGATGACTGTTCCTGTGTGTCTGCTTCCTATTTGAGTCTGGGTGAGTGCTTGGCAGTTTTGTTTGCATGTGACAGTGACTTGTAAAAGGTATTTTGTTCTCTACAGGTTAATATATATGTATTTTAAAATCAGTTGTATGCATATTCTGTCTTTCAGAAACTGCCTTCAAATGATACAAAAATGATGGAGAATTCTTTAGGACTTTATAAATGGAGTCCAACTATTTTTGTTTCATCTATTTGGTCTTTCTTACTGTTTACTATTTAAGTGTAATTTCTTGTTTTAAGGTTTTTTGCCTTTATATTGCTGTATCTTTATTCAGCACGTGTTGGCAACTGAGGCACATGCAGTGCCTTCTATGTTAGCACTTATTAACTTCTAATTTTTACAACCTTTTTAGTGCAAGGATGTGATCTCCTTATAATACACAGAAATCTGAATTATACACCCATGCAGTAGCCTTTAGTTTCTTTTTTGTAAATGCTTACGTTGTGGGTGTATAATGCTATTATTTCACTTCCATTGCTGTCATGCAATATTAAGATCTACTGAGGTCAAAATATACCATTTAGATTTTTTATTCCAATTCTCTGAGGCTGCTGGAGGAAGCCTGTGGAGTTGGTCAGTTTTTAAGACTCACAACATTGGAGGCATTATCATTTTAACAAATGTCACAAACTGATTTGTGTGATCGTATAATATCATGCATACACACCCACAGTGTCGTGGTTAACGTACCATGTGAACGTCGTCGTGTTTCTGTGCGCTCGTACCATTCAGCTGCTTTGGATTACCTCATGGAACTGCATGGAATTGTCAGGAAAAATGCTTTGAGGGTTCTTAGTATAAACACAGTAGAAGCAAAGAAGCTAAGCTTCTTTCAGTAAGAGAAGGGTGTTTCTCAGTTTCAGGCTTTATTCTGGCAGGTGGGATAAAGAGAGGAAGTGGCAGAGCAAGGAGATGCCTCACATCCTCTCCATGAAGAACGCTAACTGCGACTGCAGTGCCAGCAGATGAAGTGTCTCTTCCTAAAACTGCGAATAAATGGGATGGTAGAAGACATAGAAAAGGGGAAAATGCAGTCATGACAATTTTGAGGAGACCGTTCTCAATTGTATGTTTTGCTTGTTTCTGATGATTGCACATGGGATAACAGCACAGACCCTAGTATATCTGTAATTGCAGTGAACTCAGGTGTATGGGTCAGTGCTGCAGTTGCGTATGTTGGGTCTGAGTTCTGTCAGTCCTTGTTACACACTGTGGAAATGAAGTCTACAAAAGATACTCGTATAAAGATACATCAAATAAGCTGAAATGATCCCATCTGAAATAGCACATGTTTTACAGCTGGCTTTGCTTTCTGTCTTAGGTGTTGGAAGATAATGACTATGGTCGTGCAGTGGACTGGTGGGGATTAGGAGTTGTCATGTATGAAATGATGTGTGGAAGATTGCCTTTCTACAACCAAGATCACGAGAAACTATTTGAACTGATACTAATGGAGGACATAAAATTTCCTCGAACTCTATCTGCAGATGCAAAATCATTACTTTCAGGCCTACTGATAAAAGATCCAAATAAGCGGTAAGTGAAATTACTTGGGTACATAGCCATAAAAAAAATAGTTTAAATTCTTAAAGGAAAAGTAGGCCACTGGTGCCCGGTCTTTCTAACTGAAGGACCAGTCATAGGAAGGGGCCATATACAGCCATACAACCTCAAATTTCCACTTAGGATATACAACAGTGAGATTGATAAGCAGAAGGAGAAAAGAGACTTGGATGAGAACACTTTTAAAATCATCCACAGCAAACACAAGGAAGTTTTCAGGTTTAGGTTATGTACTGGAACAAAATGAGATCTATGTAGTGTTTGTCACAGTATGATTTAACCCTAAGTTGGTTATAAAGTCTAATGGAAATGCTCCACTTTTTCTTTTGGTGTGATCATGCGTGAGGACACGTAAAGACTGCCACAGCTAAGTTGCATTAACGCATATAAATAGATCACAGATCATGTAAACTACAAATTGATAATGCATCCTCTGAGTGAGATTTAAATGCAGTGGTTTAAAAGTGAGCATTGCCTACCTGCTTCTTGTGCACCTTTCAGCAGAATTACTGTTTAGGAAAGCTGTCTTCCAATGGTTCCTGCACTCCATCCTCAATCTCTAGACAAGAAGTTTTCTGTAGCAAGGATGTGCTCACGGGTACTCAGAGCAGGACCAGTTTCGGTGCCCCTCAGTGGGATTTGCCTGTGCTTAGCCAGGTGCAGCAGCTGACACAGCACAAGTGGTCATCATTTTTGTTGCTGCCCATCAACATCTGTTTTAATGAAGTTTATTTTGTGTAGTAAAAGGAAACTATGACCAACCAAATAAATACATGTAATGTAAGAATTTGTCTCTGTAGTAATTGCTATTGCATTTTAACCTCCAAACAATTTGATTTATGAAATATATTAGCCTTTAGATTTGAAAAGATACTTCCCTGTAATTAATCTTTGCAGGCAGTAGTATGTATTATAGACTTCTGTTTACTTCAGCTTATTCATATTCAAGTTTCAGTGCTAGCTACTGATAAACTGGGAGAAAGCACAGAGATTAACTGCAGCTCTGCTCTTCTCTGAACGTCTGGATGGGAAGATACTGAAGAAGTCTGAAGAGTGCAGGCAGACTGGGATGCTCAGAGATGTGGAGAATTTTATGAGTGGTTGAGAAACAGAAGAATACAGCGTAGAAATAAGTTTATGCCCAGTCACTGCAGGGCTGAGATGGTAGTGCAGAATATTTCTGTAAATTTGAGAATTGTTGCTCCTTTCCTTGCTTTTAAAACTTCTCTTTATATCTTTAGCAGTTCATTTTAATGAAACACAAACTGCCTGTGTCATTCTCTTTGTTGACAACATACAAAGCTGTTTGTTAGTTTAGATTTTTTTTTCTGTTGCAACTACTGTCAGTTACGCCATGGGATAGCTAGACCGGGAAGATGCTAGATCAGAGCTGAGCAGTCTTAAAAGTCCACCTGCTTTGAAAGGGGCAGAGGTCCCAAATGGCTCTGTCTCCACCAACAGCAAGCTAAGGGAGCTCACTGAAACTGATGTTGAATCAAGTTTGACTTCTAAAGCAAAAAAGCTGCCGGTTCTTTGTTGTTTTCTCCTTGTGGGGTTAGTTTTCTTTCAGGTTAGTGAGCTGACTCCAGCTCTCAGCCTCCAGTGAGCATCACAGTCAGTGGAAGTGATGCTGTGGATGAAAGTGAGGGGAGATGGATGGGCAGGGATGGGACCCTTTTTCCTGGCAGCAGTGTCTGCTTATGGGAGCTCAATCCACCTTGTGTGGGTTCACCTGGAGTAGTTGCAATTTGCTTCTAGAGATGATATGCCAGAGTCTGGCTTTGGCAAGCTGTGGGCTGCAGCAAATAGTGTGGTTATTTACAGTGGCCTTTAAATAACCTTCTCAGCAGGCCTACAATTTATTAATTTATACTAATTAACTCAGATTGAGGCTATTTTATGGTAATTGGTTAATTGTTACAGCACCCAGATGCAACAGCAGCACACACTTTATAAAAATGATGTGTCAGTCATTACTAATTCAGTGCTTGGCACCTCCCTGGTAAAATTCTATGTCAGCTTTGTTGGGTTAGTTTTAGTTTTTAATGGTGCCAGATCTTTAGTTCGTCTTTCAAGAAAACTCAAGAATGTCTTTGAATGAAAACTCATTGTGGACAGTAATAAACACAATGATTGGAGTAATCAAGTAGAACAGAACATTATTTGGATGCTTTTGTTAACACTTTTTATCTTGAATTCATATTATATAGGGGAGAATATCAGATTGAACAGGTGAGAGTTGTTCCCAGATATTGAAAAACAAATGGTCTCTTGTCTAACAATCATGATAATTTAATCTCGTTTTAGGAGTAGAACTTGTTTAATGTGGGCTTTTTTTTTTATTCTCTGTCTAGACTTGGTGGAGGCCCAGATGATGCAAAAGAAATCATGCGTCATAGTTTCTTTGCTGGAGTAAACTGGCAAGATGTATATGATAAAAAGGTATGTGCTTATATGATGCTGAATAACCTGGCTTCTGTCCTGGAACTGTTGCGTGTTTTTCATTGCAGCTTTTCATGTTAGTACAAATAAATAATTATTCTGAGCCAGGTGAACTACTTTCATCTTTTGGTTTTCATTAGTGATATGTCACTGGACCACAAGTAAATGTTGCTAATCAAACTGAAGTCAGCAAAGATTTTCCTCCTGTTACGTGACCTCCCAAGCTTTTTTCCTTTTTTTTTTTTTTATTTCTGAGTGTTCAAAAGAAAAATAATTGTACGAATCAGGACATGGAAAAAATAGATTTTTTTTTTCTGAATTGTGTTTTTGCCTTTTATTGAATTGTTGCAACAAAGCAATTGAAAAGATTCGTAGCAAAAATCAACTTTCTGATTATTTGTGTTTAAGTAGAAATCTCTTAAAAAGTAATTTTTAGAGAGAGACCTAGCGTTAAAATTCTGAGCTTGAACAGCTTGTGGAGAAAGGGAGTGCTGGGAATTGAATTTGAGCAGTTTTATCTAAACACAGTCCTATTCCTATAATGACCACCACATTGGGGATGATTTTGTAATTAATGTATCTTACTGACTAACAGAATTCAATTTGATTTACGTTCTTTTATATACATAAGCTGATTTGTTCTCAGCACTTGCTTGAGAAGTTTCTTGTTGCTATAAAGCCATCTATTTTGATAGTCTTTTTTTCCTGTGCTTCCCCCCCCCCCCAACTGTTCTATACTGTTAATCTGCCAGTTGAGCTGTGTAATTTAAAAATTTTCCTCTTTTGCTTTGTTCGAAAAAAAGAAAATGGAAGACATACGAATGAGCAGAATATGTTTATGCTCCAATGTCAGTGCTGCAAACTGTTTTTTCAGTTGTTGTTGAACTGGAATTTTAAAAATGTGTGGTTGTTGGTGTGGTATTTCTCTGACAAATACCAGAATTGAAATGAGAACCTTATATTATGATACAAAATATGGTACTCTCTGAAGTTACTTGATCCAAGTGTGATTTTTTCCCTGGCAGAACGGTGATGTTTCAAGAAACTTCTAAATAAATAACCTTAACGAGTATGATATTAACCATGTTACTTTATGAGCTCAGAATGGTTGGTTGTTTTTAGGCAGTTGCAGGGAAGCACTCTGAGGATAAAATCTAAAACTCCAAACTGAGGACAGAGAATAGATTGCATTGCACAGTGCTGGGAGAGGATGAGAAAGAAAAAGCCGTTTCATTACTCTCACTCCATCAAAAAAGTTTTCCTGCCAATTTTAGATTAAAACAGAACTTTCAATTCTACGCTGTTCAACATCAAGCTTAGTTCTTACAATACAGATCCTCTTAACTTTTAAGTGCAGGCTCTGAATATTTCCGAATCAACACAGCAAGTGTTTTTTCCATCCTAATCTTATTCCGTGCTGTTAAAATAAATGGAGGTATTTTGCTTTGACATAAATGCAGGTATTTTGCTTTTCTGCCTGTGGAGGTGGACATGGCTTGTTGGAATGTGGTAACTGGAGAGATGGCAGTCACTCTGTGTTTACACTTTCCACTGCTGCTTTGAGAAACTAAATTTGCTACTGGAAGATGAATTGGATTTCCTCAGTTAACTTCCAGGACCAGAGGAATTATTTTTGTGCAGTATTGGCACACAGTGTATTCTTTATGGAAAAATAGCTCATTAAAATTAGTTCAGACAGTATGTTTTTCTATTTAATTCAAAAATAGTTGTATTGCTATTGTAAAGCCGTTTGTCTGGTAGGTTCAGAAGTCCAGGCATTCCTTCTGTGCACACGCTGTCTTATCAGTTCTGAAGTATGCAGAGTGCAAGACGGTGTTCTGAAATGTGAACTTCTAGCATAATAATAAGCTTAATGAACTTTAACCAAGTATTTTTATTACAGTGCTTGTGAGAAGGTTTCTGAGGGTTTGCTATGTGATACAGTTTCTAAAACAACTCAGGAGTGTGCATCGAACAAATTTGGTTTTCAAATAGCTTTATCCAATGCTTGCTTCTGTTGCTGTTTATTATTAGTAGTACAGATTTCAGTAGTAGGGTCACTTGATGAAATTTATAGTTGATATAATTATTTGCATAGTAGAGATATTTCACAGCATTCTTTTTTGAGGTTTGTACACCATGAAACTGTAATTTTCTGGCTGCATTTCAAGCATGTGTTTCTCGTAGTAATGAAGGAACTGAAGTTTGCATTCAGACTAATAGAAAACGAAAAATCATGTGCATTCCAAGTAGTTTCAGGGGAATCATTTTGTACATGTGTATGCTGTACCACCGTGCCGCTGATTTTGATCATTTCTACTCGAGATTGAGTACATCTCTGTACTTACCAGGTTATCACTTCATGAGTGTGATTGGAGGCAGCATTATGTGTCTGTAAACTTGGAGTGCTTCACAGCAAACACGAGCTCTGTCAGGTCAAAGGGATCCAAATGGTCGAATGGAATTATTAGCTCGCTGATACTGCTAACTAATTAAACTAATTTGGTACTTTGCAGTGATAATAAAATAGTGTATGGTACATTGTGGAGCAGAGAAGGTCGTTGACTTTAAATGAAAAATGTATAGTACTTAGCATTTGTGGTCAGATGTATTTATATTTGGCAGAAAAATCATGAAGGCATATGAAAGAGGGCAGTCTATGCCAGGTTCTTCCTGTGACCAGCTCAACCCTGATGAGTTTTCATTTCTGTGCCTGACTATGAGAAATTGAATAGTTTGGCAAACTCTGAGGACTTCAAAAGCTCGTACACTTCTAAATAAATCATTTGTTTTATTTTTAGCTAGGACCAGGAAGCTTTTTGACATTGCTGTTACTCATTTAGGAATTGTTTTAGGGTGCTTTTATTTGGATTGCAGAAATATTCTGAAATTGTCAGATGTTCTGTCTAGGATCTTTCACTGAACAAAAACCACATGGGCATTAGTTTGAAGGTAGGAATTAGGGTATGTGTTCAGGTGTACAGCTTGAAGCACTCAGGTGGCCCCCGTCAGAGGACATCCAGACCTCTTAGCAAAGCCTGGGTTTCCTCCTGTGTGTAATAGGGATGGAAAGGAAGAAGAGGCTGGGCAGGAATTTGGGCTGAGTTACACATGTCTTATGATTTCTTAGTCTCTCTGACTGTTCTTGAAGCAAATTTCTCTGCTAGTGCTGGGAAGGTAGTGGGGCAAGTGGCAGGGATGATTACAGCCCTGCTGAGCACAAGGACACCTCTCCAGCAGGTCAGGCAGCTGTGAAATGCTGGTCCTCAGCCTCCAGCCTGTGCTTTTCTTAAGGCACAACCACAACAGAAGATGAAATGCCATGATTAAAACCCTGTGTTTAAATCTGGCAAAATCTGCAACATAAGTATAATGCGGAATGCGTATTTAGGTACTTTCACTGGTCAGATTTTAAGGGAAGAGGTAGGAGAGAAATAGGAAAACGCCAGCATCTGGCTTTAAGCAGTTGCTATGTGAGTCATGCTATTTTGGTACGATTACCTGCTGTGTAATAAAGCCGGTAGAAATGACCCATTACTTGCTTTTGTGTTGTTGCCATACAAAGTAGTGAAAACATCAGAAATCTGCTAAGCAGGCTGATCTTTTCAATGTGCTCCAGTAATACTTGCTGTATGTAGACCTTATGATTGATTGCCACCTCTTTGCTTAGCTGCTAGAATTTACAGAAGGCAGAGTATAGCATAAAGGTGTTTGATTCAAAAACAAGCTGTTCTCATTGCAGCTCTGAGGAAAAAAGTTCATCTGTGGGCAAAACCCTGATGAACCAGCCATGTCCTTCCACTGCTGAAATCCCATCTCTGCCACCTCCTCCGCTGCTCAGAAGCACTTCCAACCCCATCCCACATGTAGTTTCTTACTGGGGTTCAGGGTCACTTCCAGCTCTATGCTGTCCTGTGCTTTGAATCTCAACTGAGGTTCCTGTCATTCCCTTAGAGGTTGGGCGTGGGATGGGGTGGGAATGGCTGTTTCCTACTCCATAAGCTCAATTTGGTGGTTTTGGTAGGATTTTCCTCCATCATGGTGTGTTTGCCCAGCCATTCAGAATTTTTGGGGAAAGGACATCCAGGTAGACAGAGTGCAAAATCTTGTCAGCTCCTGTTTCCTTTGGTAACTGAGCTATTTTCAGAAAAAGGATCAAAAAATGTTGTTAGGAAAGGAAAACAAGTACTTTAAAAAAACATATTTTTATGAAAATATTCTTGACAATCTAGTGTTGAAAGTCTGAGCTAAGGCTTTGGGTACTAGTAATGCCTGCATGATCTTTAGGATCATGAAGTTTGTTAGTATCTGCAGGATATTTAAGATCACCAAGGGAGCTTAAAAGACATATGAATGAGAGAACGCCTTAACAGATATGCATCAGAAAAAAATCAAATCTAAAGATGGACTTTGCTAGTGTCTTATTAAAACGCTTAATTGTTATTTTGTTGTTATTGCCTTGTTATTTCAGTTTCAGTAAAAATAGTCTGTTTACTTGCAGTGTCTTGCAGTGAGTTATGCAGTATGTTGAGTTGGGAAGGCTGTAAACTGTGACATGTTTTCAGCACTTAAAGTTGAGGTGTTTCCATGTCACCTAGTGGTGACATGGAAAGGTGTATTTCAGTGCTGTGACCCCATTCTCCTCTCACTGTCCTGCTGTTCTCAATAGGTTAATCTGACTCTGTGGTTTGATTCTTGACAATCACAGCTCTGCGTAGTTCTCCAGTAGAGTTTAACATAGATGGAAGTTCGATTTCTGGACATCAGATGTTGAGCACTTAACTACCAACGTATAATTAACTTTTGTAGCCAGGAAGAACTGTAGCATTTGACACAGGTTTTGACATGTATCAGACCTAAATAATAAACTAACTGGCAACTGTTGAAATGCAGCATTTGATGGCAATGCAAGGCATTACTGAAATATATCTTGTATTAGAGAAACAACTGCATTTTCAAAATGTGTAAACTCTGAGGAACAACGAATTTTTCTCATACACTGTGATTTGTTAGTATAGAAGAGGAAAACACATTGGGATGCAGCAGTGATCTTGTTTTTGATTGAACAAATCAGAATGTCATACTGAAGTTGAACCACAGATGTAAGATTCAAATCGTTATTCCTCGTGAATAAAAACAGAATCTGGACAACAGTGCTCACTTCTTTACATTGATACAATACTTAAAGAATTCGTGTTTGTGAGTTTTGAGGTTATAATCCACTTACATAGTTTATTTAAATAGCGCGAACAATTCAGAGAGGGTGGTGTACAGCTGCACCTCTTCCTCCTTTAGCACTTCATCTCAGAGTGCTTTTCAGCTGCAGGCTGTTGGTGGGTGGGATTCTTGTGGCTTCGTTAATTTTGAGTTCATTGGAAGGAAAATTCCTTTTAAATTAAAAGGAGAGGGACAATAACAATTCTTAAGCATCTCATTTTTCACTTGACAGGTTGAGTACGTCACAGACACTCTAAAGCAGCTCAGGTCACTTCCCATATGATCCAAGACAAATGTTTCCTGTCAGGTTGTATTTGAGCTAATAACATGTATATTTCCTCTTGTACAGAAGTACTAGTGTAGCTCTTACATCAGCATGAAAAAGCTCAAACACAGAGGCTGCCTGTTCATTTCTATGTGATTGAAGTACTCAGGTGCCTACCTGCCCCTTGTGTTCCCCCAAGAGGTGGGTGACAAGTTTTCTGGGTCTTGAACTGTGGGAAAACAGTGGTGTTCCTCACGTGTTACTCTTGATGGATGCCAAATGGAAATGCCATAATATACGATAATGAAAATACTAAGAATTTGATACTGCTTCTGCTGTCATTTCTAACGTTAAGCCTTGGAAATGTCTGGGGTAGATTCAGATTGACAGGTATGAAATTGAATTTGTCTTAAACATCACCTCTTACAGACAGTTAACTCAGTGCTGAGTTTAGTCTTTCATTTCTTTATTTGCACACGTGTACGTATGTACACATACGTGTGTTTGTGTGTGTGTGTGTATAATACATGAACGCACAAAACGTGTGTTTTTTGGTCCTTAGAGTCAATTGCTGAAGGCAGAGTCTCCTCTCTGGTTGAAGGGTCTGCCTGAAATGGAACAAAGTGTTAGAAAAGGGCAAATTGTCACATCCAGGCAGGCAGGATTGAGCAGCAGGAGACAAGGATTGTGTTTAGCTGAAGCTTCTATTATTCCTTTTGGACACCTGTCACCATGTGTGCCTTGTGGTACTCGCATTACTGTTTTGGGACTTTCTGATTTCATGGGTCAGAAGTGGTGAGAGCTGTTAGATACCATTTCTCTGTGACACTAAAGCACCAATACCACTGAGTATGGAGAGGCAACATCATGTTGTGGTTATCAGGGCTGTGCTCAATATTGTGTATTTTGTTCACCCTTCTGGGTTGCGTGGAAAAGTTTCTGGGTTGTTATGTAGGCTCTGTGTCAGTGTAAGTGGTTATCTGTGCAGGAGTTGCACCTTATTTGTCTTTCTAGCAGTTTCACTGCAGCTGAGATTTTTGGAGATTTTACTTTCTGCTTTTAAATAAAAGCTGACAGTTAATGAACAAAGATGGCATCACTCCAGAAAGATAATTGCCAAGTTTCTGTAGCATGGCCCGGCATGTTGGTGACATGCCTTACAAAATCTGTCTCAAGTGAGTGGTTCAGTCTATAATCTCCCGGCTGTACTGATGAGGTGCAGTGCCCTTCTGTGTGCACTTACGCACATCACTCATACCATTCTCCCAGCTTCTGCTTTATGTGACAGGAAAGGATTTTGTACTGTATTTCTTCTGGAGGTGATGCCGAAGCAGTGTGTGGAAGTTCCTTGTGTCTTGACAAGAATTGTGGAGCAACTGGTAAACTGTTCTAGAGGCTCTGCCTTTAAAACAAGGAGTTTGTCTTCAAAGTCATTCTGCACTTATATGAAGGTCAGAGAAAGACTCTGTTTGAGGAAGGGGAAGGTGTATATGTGGTGGCAGACAGGGCTTCTGGAGTGGGAAGCCAGCAGGCCTTTAGAAACGGCTGTGCTGGTTAAAGGCCAGGAGAGCAGGACGAGAGGAAGTTCAGGGGACCTCCCAGCTGGTGGAGATGTGGTGAGGGAAGGAGGCAGAGCATGTGAGAAGAGTGAAGGAACCTCCCTGCTGCTCTCTTGAGTTGTGTTTGTGCCTCTTGATCTCAGCTGTCGTTTCCTCTTTCCCATAAGCATCAGTGTATGTGAAGGTGCCGCCTGGATAAATACAGCATGAGCTTTTGTGGAGAAGCTGCATGGTTTGTTTTTGCAGCCTCTGAAGCCTCCTACTGCTTTTCATGTCTAGAAAATGAAAGGTGCTTCTGTAAGATGAGTGAATCGCTGAACACCAGTGTTGCAAATTTGCACTGGGTTCTTCCCCTCTGGTTATAGACTGGAGTTTCTTGTCTTCTTCTTTTACTTACACAGACATCTGGACTTGTGGCATCACTGGCATTTTCATCATCTGGCTCACGGGGAGCTGTCGATGAGCACTTGTCTATTCATTTAGAAGTCTGGCTCCTCAGTGTAGCGCTGGAGGACCAAACATCCTCCTTTGTGGAAGAACAGATCAGCTAATGCATCGCTTTCTTTCTTCCTCAGCTGCAAACCCATACATGGCTGTATGTTGTGATCTTACCCTGCACTACCTTTTGTTTTTCATCAACCACTTTGTTCTAAATAGTATTTGTTACAGACTGTGTAAGCCACTGTCTTCTCCTCACATCAGAGGTGAAGATTTGGATCGAATGAAATAGAGCTGATGGAGCTGATAGAAGGACAAACCATTGCAGGGAGAGAAGGGTCAAACTGCTGAGTGAAAGTTAATGCTGAAGCTCTCTCCTGGAAAGGAGAGCAGAATCTGGTACCATGTCCAAACCACACAGTGTCTTACTGTGAGTTTTGTAGTACCAAAGATGGTGAAGGTGACTTTATCCAGCTAAGAAAACTTGCATGTTGTCAGTGGTCAGTGTAATACGTCTGATGTGAGAAGGAAAACATAGGAAGAACTGGGTGGCAGTTTTAAACTCAGATTTGAACACATTATAATGGACTGCACATTACAGTGTGCAGTATGCTACTGAATGTGCATTCTGGTTAGAATCTCTGACCTATAGGCTGTTCTTCTGGAAGATCTGGAGAACAAGGCTGGTGCAGGTCATGTAAGAGTGATGATACTTGCAGTTAACCTTGCTGTTAGCTAGGTTTTGAACTAGTATTGTTGAGATTGTCTATAATGACATGTATCTCTTACCAGGAGTTAGAGACTCGGCTGTCTCTCAGTGACCCCTTTGTAACTCTGTTAGATACAGGGTGTAGGGAAAAAAGAAAAACTGTAAATCCTGTCTTGTGATAATTTGGTTAGCTTCACGTATAGTAATCTTGTTCTGTTTCTTGGTCTCTTTCAGCTTGTACCTCCTTTTAAACCTCAAGTGACATCTGAGACAGACACCAGGTATTTCGATGAAGAATTTACAGCTCAGACTATTACAATAACACCGCCTGAAAAATGTAAGTCAAAAATTATACAGGAGCATAACTTAAAAACAACAAGTTTATGATAAAGCGCTGTGTGAGAAGGCTCTTCAGTTTGAATGGGAAAGGTATTCTCACTGTTAATAGCAAAAATCTTCGTATGGAAGTGTGTAAAAGTAGCTCCCAAAAAGAGAGTTCTTTTGAAGAAGGAATAATTACAAAGCTTAAAGCATTAGATCACCGTGTGTGTTTTGTTTGTTTGCATGTTAATATTATTTTTATTTAACTTAGCTTACAGTTCTGTCATTCTCTTTTTCTGGAAAACACCAGCTTCGGATTGCTGGGTGGCTGTATATGTCCCAGACATGTGTATTTTAAAGTATTCTTCAGACAAAAAAAAAGAAAAGGAAAAAAGCTGCCGGAGACAAGTGGATGTCCCTTGTGTAGATATCCATTACATGAAAATTATTTGAAAATGAAATTTCCTATCAAGTCGTGTACTTAGCAGAGCTCTTAAAGAAGTTGTTAATGTAGACATAATTGGTGCAGTGGGCCTTGCACAAGCCTTCTGTGTTGGAGTGGATTTAACTGCACCACTGTTTGATCATCTCCTGCTGCGCAGGAGCTGGGGCTTAACGGAGTCACTGCCAAGCCAGTGCTAAAGCGCAGTGAAAGTCTTGCTGCTCAGTTTCTTTCTTAGATTATTTTTTTAATTGGGGGGATGGTAAAAGAGGGTCATAAAAGTAGGCAGTAACTTCTATAATTAAAGTTGATGACCCAGTCATATAGAAGGCTCCTATTCCCTTGAGTTAGGATTCTCAGCTTTAGACATAGGTTTGTGGTATTGCACAAATCTGGAGTACTTTTCTGGGCTTTTATTTGTTGTGTTTGATTGCAGCCATTCAAGTGATTTTTAAGTCCTCTTGCTCTGGAAAAAATTACTGTTTTTTTTCCCATCTATCTTAATAATTTGTTCATATCTTTAATTTGAACAAATTTTGTTTAAGTATGGATTAATTTAGAGGCTGTTGACTGAGTGCCATAAAGTCATGATTCTTGGAACTCCACATGTGCACTGATAATGGATATTTCTTCACTGACTACTGAAGCAACACAAAATACTTGGATACTACTGAGATTTCAGATTTGAATTTTTTGAATTTGGAGCAGGCAATTAATACCAGCTCAGAGAAGCTACCTGTCTCCCACTAGCACCTGCCCTGGCCTCTGGTGATGGCAATGCTGCTGCTGTTTGAAGCAGCGCAGGCTACAGCCCACCCTGGCTGTAGGAATAATAAAATAAGGGTGATTACCAGCAGCAGTGCATGGATGCTGACAACATATCTTGTATATTCAGTAACCAAACTGCACCTATAACATGACATACAATTCTAAAAGGTTCCACAGAAGTGCACTGTTGCATGAGTCACAGTTTCAATAGGTGTCTTCAAGGATAATCACTGTTTAAAAATCCACGTGAATGTAGATCCAGATTCTCAGAGTGAGGCAACATGTGGGGTCTGGGTTCCAAAGGCACAACAGGAATTATGTAAATAAAAATATTTGTGAATTTGGCTTAGCGCTGATTTCTTCCGAGTCCCCTATATACTACAAAATAGTTTACTAAAAAATAATATGTAAGAATTGAAATACGTAGAATCTTTATCAACTGTTAATTTTGCTGATGTTCTTCCTTTTAACTCTCTTCAAAAGGGAAAAGTACTTATATATGTCTGCAAGAAGATGATCATTTTCTGGACTCAGCTTGAAGCAGTGAAATCTGTTTCACTGCTTCCATGAGCAAGGTCTTCTTTTTTCCTATGCTCCCAGAAGAATAGATGTGCTGGCGTGTTTTGATTAGCTCAGACGAGGTAGTAGTGATTGAAGTCCTCAGGTGTCATAGTGCAAACAAAACAAAACAAAAACCTCAATAAACCAAAGCAAGCAAAAAAACCCCGCTGTACTGCTATAAAAGATGGCTTACTGAATTCTACCGAGTGAGCGTGAGCCCTTAACTTCAGCACTGAGCTCTGAAAGATGGGCTGCGTATCAGATGAAAAATAAAATGTTGTTATAAATGTAATGACATTTTGAATTTCTCTTTCTCTTACTACAGATGACGAGGATGGTATGGACTGCATGGACAATGAGAGGCGGCCGCATTTCCCCCAGTTTTCCTACTCTGCAAGTGGACGAGAATAACTTTTTTGTTCTGCTGCTTCACTGTCATCTTAGGTTTATCACTGAAAATGATTCCTGAACATCACCACCAGTTCTAGATACCGTTTAAGATAGCAGGGGCACTTTCAGAGACCATTCCAAATTGAACAAATTTCTTTCCCAAACCTACCTAAAATCCGTTTTGGTTTTGCATGAAATACGGTATTTCTCTACGCTCTCCCGCTGTTGCTGCTGCCCACCGTCTCAGTATAATAGCAACGTCAAGAAATTACTCAAAGTTTCTTTCAAGGTAGATGACCGTACGTCAGCGCTGTACACTTTGTGCACAAATAGTCATCTGATTTTCCACGCAGTGGAGGCTAAACAAAAAAATATGTTGGTCCAGCTTATCTTCTTCTAGAAGATGAATCAAAATTGTACTTAGTCTAAAAAAGACTAGTCTATAATATTTTCTTGCATCTGTTTGTGCTGTTTAGAACAAGGAAACACGGGGGTGGTGATGTACATATGCAAGGTTTTTGTTAGGCATATCATTACTTGAAGCAGGTCTCTGTCAATAACATCTGGCTGAAATTTGCTCGGGAAACGTTTGAAAGAAGGATTTAAACTGTTGATATATATAAATATATATATATATTATTTTTTAATTACTGTTGGATACTACAGAAGAAGCAGAAGGGCTGGCTCACCCAGCCTGCCACTTAGAACTTCCAGGTTCATGTGCAATCACGGAGAATCAAACATTATACATGCAAGAAATGAAGGCATAAAAGCAGCAGTTGAAGTTCTTTAAGGGGTCTTATAATTTGCACCAGATAACATCTATCTCATGCTTTTCTTTTTCTTTCATGATATACATCACCTCTGATGGCTGAAGAATGTAGACAGGCATAATGGTATTGCTTTTCACCCAAATGTGTGCACCAGGGTAAAAAGGTGTTTGCCTTACTTTGAGTTTGTGAATTAGCTCTTTCTCCAGGTGTTTAACTCTGAATTTTTTTTTTTTTTAACTTTTTTTTTTTGGTTATGCTGCGGTAGTATTTATTTTTAGAGATAAGGATTGTATGTGTCATGTTTGCAAATGCTGCTACATCTTAGATAGAACAGGCTTAGAGCAGTTAATTTTGTTGTAATATATGGAAGGACTGTACAAGCTGAAGGGGATAACGCACTTTTGTCCAATGTGGAGATATTAGCAAGGCTCTGAAATTGTACATACTGCTTAGAATCAGATTTTTGTGAGTGAAATACTGTCTTTTAATTCTCTGGCAGTGGAGACGAGGAATTCCAACTTCACGTGTCAAAGGATTAAAACTAACTAAATAAGAACACTACATCTTGTGCTGTATTCAGGATAAAGATACTGTAAAAAGCCTGAGAGCACAATAGAAAATTTCTATTCTATGTGAGGGAAACATCTGAACAATGAGACCACCGTGATTACAAGAAAAGCACTTTATTCTGATAATTCACATAGTAAATTTCTGGGATCAGCCATTGTCAAGGAAAGCTTGCCCTCGAGAAACCCAGCATGTCATCCGTGACTGTGGTACCAGATTGACTGAGTTTAAGACATTGCGAGAAACACTGCCGCTAGGAAGATGTCTTTCCACGTCTGAAGATCTGTACCTAACAGAGCATGTGCATAAACTTTAGCTTTTTTCTTCAGCAATGATAATCTTAATAATAAACCCGTTGGTGCTAGGAGCTGGGATGTTATGCAGTGCAGGGATGTGCACCGCGCTCTTGCTAATGACATCCGAGAACCCCAACTCCATGGGATTATCATTGGAAGTATCTCTGTGTTTGTATCTTTTTAGCTCCCACAAAGACTGTGATATCAGAACATTGCGCTGTGTGAGTGAGGGGATGAGTCTGAAAGGAGACCATACCAGATGCCTCCTTAGCCCCTTGATGTGGAGTTGAGTGTCCCGGCGTGAAGCCCACTGCTGGCAGTGCACGTGCTGGGACTGACAAGGGGCAGTCGGGCATTTCAGCAAGGCAGCTAAAGACGCAGACTAGTTTAGACAATTTTTAGTGTTTTATCTTTAGCGATGGACGGATAATCAGTTAGAACTGTATCACGATGTATATGCTAAGTACATAGGATCTGATGCTGTCACCTTCTAACACTATATGTGTAAAGATTATCCCTCTGTACGGAGTGAGCGCAGTAAATGCATGGCAGGTCTGTAGAAGTGTCTGCGCTGACAGTGAGTGAGTGACTGAAGTAACTGATGACGCAGTAGATGGGCATTATAATTTTCTGCAAAGGCCTCAAGCTTAAGAGGCTGAAACTATGGTGGTTCAAAATCTGTGTTCCGTGCCTGTGGTGTTATTTTTTTCCAACGTTTTCAGCTTATAACAGCAATAAGGTTTTTGACACAGGGCACCTATAGTTCTTGGCTGAGTGGAGCTGTGCCTCTGGCCAACCCTTCCTCATGCTGAGAAGAAAGGGGCCCTGTGGGTGGGTTTGATTCATCATTGCATAGCTCGTTAGAATGCAGTTTGCAGTAAATATCTGTCGTGAATTCTTTGGAAACCTCTTAAGGCTTCATTCAACTTGCATTGTGTTGCTGCCTTCCAAAGTCTCATTCATCAAGTATATACTATGAAGAGTTAGCAGTCATTTAATGCTGCCCCAGGCTGGGGGATTCTCTCTGAGCAGTGTTAGAAATGGATGAAAGAAGAATTCAGGCTGTGCTGAGAGAAACTTTGGAAGCTCTTTTTTTCCCCACTTGCGGTTGTAGTTGGACTTGGGCAGCACATGGTGGTGGCTGGGTACCTGATGAGCCTTCTGAGCACAGTACATTTCAGATGCTGACTCCAGCTTGTACTGACTTCCATGACATACACTATGCCCTCTTGTACTGCAGCCATCTTGGAGAAATACGTCATTTCTGTTTGGGTTTTGGCAGTTTTGCACACAGCTTTGCTTTCCACACGAATCCATCTTCCAGTACATTCCTGTTGCTTAAAGAACATTTATTCCAGTATTGTTTTCCATTTTTTCCATCTATCCTCGCGGCTTCTTAAAGCTGACTGTTCTTGCAGGGGCCATGTGCTTCTCCTAGAGTACAAAAGTAAGGTGTCTCCTTACTAACTGCAGGGTCTATATATTACACCTCAGTGTACACACTTTGCTGCTACTGTTTGTACTGTCTACAGTAGAATTTCCTTATCTTGCTCCTGGTAGTGCATTACAGGCAAGCATGAAATGTAAAGTATTTATTTAAATAAAAACCTCTAAATTGGTAATTGAATTACCTCCCTGTAGCTTTAGAGTTTGTGACATTTCTTGACCTTGCTAGTTCTTTCATTAGATCCATGCAAGATCTAGTCATATGGTTAAGGATATTAAGCAGACACGACTATGAACCCAAGAAACCGTATTACTGTTGGTCATACTTAAACTGTTTATTTCCTTAAGTATATGACCCACAAGGATGTGAAATAACTACAAGAAACTGTTTTTGTACACTGTACATCCTTAGTATTTTTACACATATATGATAGGGATGCACATTATTTTCCTTCGTACAGACAGCTTAAATAAAGCACTATGTCAATCTGCTACTTCTGTGTTTTTTAATGCTAATTTGTTCTGGAGGTTTGTAAATATATTATATATATATATATGTTCAGGCTTGCCACAAAGGACATATTTTTTTATATCTGCACATTAAGTATCTTAAAGTTCTGAATTTGTTCTGTGTCAGAGACAGAAGAATGGAAGCGAGAAGGTGGTTTTGCAGATTACAAAAGATCTCTCGAGTTTTGGTTTAAATATTTACTTCATATTTTAAAATAATTTTATATAGGTTAGATGTTTCGATCCTGAAATGCACAAAGAATTGACTTAATTTCTTCTTACAAGAAAATGTACATCGTTATTTTTTTATCACTGTATGTATAATGATCTGTGCATGTTTAGTTACAAGTTTATTTGCTGTGAAGTCCTCGTGGTAACTGTTCCTTGTTGTGACCTATTTCAGATACTGGGTGAGCAGTTTCAGCTTGTAAATTCAGTTACAGTATTGTCACCAAGAAAGGCTTTTCTGGCTAAGCAAGATGTATTTGTGCTGTGGACCAAGGCTGTTCCCACGCACGTGGTTCATGTTAACTCTTTGAGGTATATGTATCTTTTAAAAGTAAATTTGGGTTTTAATTTCCAAGTAATGATTACACAGGGCTGCATTCTATCAGAACACCCAGTATTTAAGTGCGTTGTCCTCTAGTGGAATTCATGTTCTCAAATCCTTTAGCTAGGTAATGTGCTGGAGGAGGGAGTCAGGGGAGGTGTGATTTGCAGGGCACCTTGAGGTGGGACTCATTGAAGCCCAGCTGGCCTGTTTGGGTCAGGAGGGCTGAGTGTCCCTGAGCAGTCTGGGCATCAGCTCAGTTCTCAGACATGAACCCTTCCCTGAAATGTGAGAAAATGTGTGAGCCAGCTCTTTTTCCTTCTTCTTTTTTTTTTTTTTTCTTCCCCAATAGGAAGGATGGAGCACAGGAGAGATAGTTGCAGTTGCAATAGCAGATCAGTGACTGGGTCTCAGCTGGGACAGCAGGACCATCTGTTCAGTCTGCGTGGAGGTACGGGCACAGAGCACATCAGGGGGTGATGCTCCAGCTGAGACAGGGATCCTGGGTTTGATCACCTCATCTGGCTTTTGTATACTTTATAAAACCAAGCATTTTGTGGCTAAATGGTGAGGTGGGGGAAATGGGAGTTGGGAAGACCTGGCCCTGTCTGTGCCCAGCAAATAAGCAACTGCTACAAGCAGAGAAGCTACTGCAGAGAAGTTGGTCCTTGTAGATGTGCACCCCAGTGGCTGGCAGTTGCCCTCTCCACAATGCCACCAGCACCAGTTGGCAGTGAGGCAGGTCCAGGAAGGGTGAGGTGCGGCTCCAGGGTCTCAGTGAAGCCTCAGTGTTGGGACTCGGTGCCCGAGTTCCTATGCACATGTAGCCGAGAGACACTTCTCCTATTGAAACATAGATTTATGGTGTAGAAAAAAAAAGTTTGCAGATTCTTACCTTTATAAATGCGTTCTTACCTATCTATAAAGTAGTGTCAGTTACAGAAAAAGATGTCCTCGAGTGTGGAGAGCCCACACTTGTGCTAGACAGAAACCTTTGTTTGTTCCTTCCTGACAAACCTGAGGCAGTGGAAGCGCGTTTACTGTCATGGCAGGGAGGCAGGCTGGGGAGGGGCTCAGATGTGCTTGGCAGTTTCATATGGCAGGAAATTGAAATGGGAAGAAAACCACTTTGATGTTAAAGCTGTACCACTAATAATTCCTGAAATACAAGGGAAAGAAAGATTGCGTCCCACAGCAAATGGTTGGTGCATGTGCCGTTACTCCTATTTTTGCTACGTTTCATGTGTTCATGCTGGCTGGGGTAGCTTTATCACAGGGGAATCGTTCTCTGCACTTTTTTCTTCTCTTTACCACTGCGATTCAGCAATTACACTGAATGTAGAAACTTTTTTCTTGTATAGTTTGTCATGCAGTAGTTCAGCAAAAGATTCAGATAAATTCTTTTTGAAAGAGCCTGGCATTTGGAAAGTCATTTCAAAAATACAAACATGAAGGCAAGCTGAAAAAAAAAAGTCCTCCAAATGTACTGCCAAATGTTTCAAGTTCAATAATTTGCATTTGAGTTCAGCTGCTGCCCATCCCTGAGACAGCCAAGTGTCTGCCAGCAGGGGGGTCCCAAACAGCTTCCTTGGTGGCAGGAACCCTGCACCGCAATGCCTGTGCTAGCACGGGTCCCTTTGTCCCCAAGGCTTTGACCACTAAAGGGAAACCTGCCCCAGGGAAATGACTCAATCATTCTCATGCTCTTCTGCTGAATAAGTAGTTGTTTGTTAGGACTCAGATTTTTGTGTAAAGGAGACAAACACTTTGTAAACCTCAGTCTCCCAGGTAAGTGCTGGTAATGAGTCCTTAACACAAGCCTGATGTATCTGTGCTAGGCTTGCGCAGTCTCCTCTTCCACATACACATGCCTTCCCTTGAATACAAAAGGATGCAACCAGGAGAAAAAGAATTAATAAACTAATTTATTGGGACTGCCATCGGGAAATAAGACAGACATCTGTATTACAAAAATAGATAAAAACATTTTATAAAAATTGTAGAAATAACGAATCCAGTACGTGCTCCATCACAGCTGTTGACATTGGATCGCAGTGTCTTAGGCAAGTCTGAGATGTCTTCCTAGAAAGTTCAGTAGGGGAGTAACGTTTCAGTATGTTGATGGCACTATAGTTAAAAACAAATGCAAAGCAGGTGAGGGTAGGCAGCACGTCTGCTTCTCTGCAAATGGTTCTGTGTGAGCTTCAGAGAAGCCCAAGTTTCAGGCGCGTACAGAGGAGAACTGAAAGAAGAAAGAGATGGGAGCGGAGCGTAAGTAGTGTGTATGGAGCTACTTGCACTTCTTGTTTGTGTCACTTCAGCCTCGGGGTGAGTGCTTAGAAGAGAAATACATAAATGGTTAAGAATGTGGCAATTGTAAACAAGCGCTGTTCCGAAGCCTGGCTTCCTGTGGGCCTGCTGTCCTGCCTCTTTCTAAGATCAGAACTCTTCCAGGTAACAAGCGCAGGAGCTGTTTGATTTCTGAAAAACAAGGTCTCCCTGAGCTTTAGCCATCACTCGTGTTTAGCAGTAAATGACTGAGCTGCTGTTTTGGGGCACGTCTTAGATCCTGCCCCTTCTCCCTTCCAGGAAGGAGGAGGCAGGGTTGTGCCAGAGAGTGTTTACTGCGAATTGTACAGACTGTATATGGGGTGGGCAGCTGTATCAAAACAGGAAGCTGCCTGCACGCTGTTAGAAAACCTCTGGTGGGAAGGCTAATATACAGTTTTGAAGCTCTTGCATAGCTATTGTTTGTGCTTCCTCAGTAGCACTTCAGCACTTCATTAAGACCGAGAGATAAAGCTCTGCTGGAGCTGGGGTGGATACCCAGAATTAAGTGACTGGAGTTCTGAAATTTGAATTCTAAGAGATGTAAATGACCTCAGAAATAAAAATAAACTTTCCACATCAGCTGGTTTTATGTTAGAGGACTTAAGGGTTTTTCTTTAAAAAACACAACAAAACTTGACAAGGTAATGAAGGCAGAGTTAAAAAAAGGATTTATAATGCTGCAGTTCATTAAAGAATTAATTAAAAACAGTAACATGGTTATTTTTTTTTTCAAGAATACATGCACCACATTACCTGCGGTGGTGATCAGCACGCTGCAACACGAGCAAAATCCAGGGAAAGACATAGAGGTTGAACTCAGTATCAGTGACTGCTCAGAGGAAGCCTCCTCTGTGCTGCACTAACTCCTCTGCATAGGGCCAGCACCAGACAGAAGATGACAAACTACACCCACCCTGCACTGCTGTGCTCCTGGCCAGGCACCTTGCAGGAGGTGTGGATCCTGCCTACAGCTGCAGGCTCACGGAACTGGCCATGCACACACGATGCAGCACTGGAAGCATTCCTATCAGGGCAGCCAGGCATCAGATGCTGTGCTGGCTGTCTCCCTCTCTTCCTTTCATAGTTAACTAACTCATCATTGCTCAAAAAATCACACCTTGTCTGCAGAATGTCACTGGCTATTACAAAAACCTGGCAGAAGCACATTTTTGTACATTAAGACTGCACTAAAAAATAAGGCCCTCCTCCTCACCAAGTAGACTCCTGAAAGAAGTGAGGACCTTGTAAGGATCAGCCCAAATCAATTCCGACATCGAAGATGGAAGTGCTACTAATCTTATGGCTGTGCAAAGGGCAGCTTCAGCACTTAAGTTGAAAAAAAGGGCAAACTAAAGCACTTGGGAACCCATCCAAACTCTGTGCTTGTTGCTGGGGCCCCACAACAGACATAAGAAGACAAAGAACATCTCAGCTCAGAACAGCTGCAACTCTAAAAGTACCTGTATGAAGTGAGGGGGGGGGAAATAAACTAAGGTTTGAGTATATTTTATATTCCTTTTAGGAATAGTGGTTTAGTCACAGGCTTGTTGTAAAACAGGACATCTCAAATGAGTGAGGAGGCAGGCTCATTGGCACAATCTGGAGAGCATGGGGAGATGTTCAAGGGAGAAGGCAGATCTGGCTAGTGGTAACCCAAGGCCCCAGCCCCGTTAGCTGTGTGCACACAGGTGGGACACGGCTGGCAGCAGCCCCTCAGGCAACCGCAGTCTGCAGGGGGATTACAAACTGGGACAGATACCTACTTCTGTATAACTGATGGACACCATGGCAGATCCTGCAAGTGAAGAGCATTCCAGCATTCAGAAATGTTGGGTAGACAGTACTGAGTTTTTTAGAAATCTCAGTTTTTTCTCTGTTTTGTTTACTATATTACGTACATTCGTATTTAGTACCCAGGATGGGAGCTGTGTATCTCGCTCTCTTGATTTACAGTGACTGGTGATTTAAGACTTTCAAAAGCAGAAACTCAAATTATGAATCTTCCAAAAGCTTTCAAAATAAGAGGTATAAATCCTTGAATTAAACTTTTGTCTGCCTTCAGGTGGATCTGCCTATGGTAAACTATATTCCATTATTAACTAT